AGAGAGAGAGAGAGAGAGAGAGAGAGAGAGAGAGAGAGAGAGAGAGACCCCAGAGAGAGGAGGAGAGGAAGGAGATGTGGGAAAGATAAGCTCTGCGGAGCCGAGTGGCGGGGAGGGGACCGTGGGGAGAGAGTGTAGGGAGACTGAGGCATCGGAACGGCCACCATGAAGTCTTGAACCTGGGAAGGGGGAGAATAGGAATGGAGGGGCAGCACCCACCTGTGCGACGGCTGGACTGGGCGACCGGCGTCCGCGACCCGGTTCGGTCTCTGCGCAGCGCGGGACCCGGCGGGCGCCCCCGCGGGGCAGGAGACAGCGACAACCCCTGGCCCCAGGCTGGAGTCGGGAGCCCAGGCCCCGCCCCCGCCGGGCCCGCCCCCCCCCTTAACCCCTCCTCTGCCGTTCCCCTGCACCCCGAGCTCCCCCACTCTCATAAAGAACTCAACCCTGGCAATCTGACCTGCTGCTTCAAGGTTTCATCCCATTAACCCCTTAGTTACCCTCTCTCCAGCTCCACACTTCCAATGTAAATCTGCTTCTGGGAAGGGAAGCTTGGTTTGGGACCCTTCTTCCTGACATTCCCATCTTTGGAGAGTCCCCTCCTTGCTGTGCTCAGTTAATAACCTTATCTGTGTCCCGCTAAGGGACTGAGGACAAAGAGGTCTGTTAAGGGAGCAGTGAGGTGTCTCAGCAGATGGAGGCAATTGGAGCTAACTCTGAATTCAGTTTCCTGGACCCAAATGATGGCAGAATGGCTCCTGAAAGCTGTCCTCTGACCTCCACACTGGCACAGGTCAAGCAGCCTCAGGATAAAGAAATGTAAAAATGCAAAATCTTAAATGGCAATCTGTTAAGTGTCCACCTCAGACATCAGGGCCACAAATGGAAGGAGTCTTGGGGAGGGGGCATGGGAGTGGGGGTTAGATCATAGGCCTGGCCTCAATTTCCTCCACTGTCCAGCAGGTCACATCACATAGAATATAAGGTCAAATCTGTACGAAGGTGTCGTTCTGGGCGAGTGGGGCGTGCCTGTAATCCCCCAGCCCTAGAGAGGCTGAAGCAGGAGGATAGTTGAGAGTTTGAGGCCAAATAATGAGATTATATATTTAAAGTGTTTCTATTGGGCTGTCCAGGGTACCCCAGCCTGTGCTCTAGAAGTTCAGTGTCCGCCACAGTTCACCTCAGCCTCTCACTTGGCTCAGACTGCACTTTGTAATCTTCTTTGCCTTTCTCAGCCTGGCTGGAACGAGGGAGGCTGCTCTTGTGTTGGGGTGTCTGTTGCCTAGAACTGAACACCCCATTATTTTCAGGGAGTGTGTAAGTGCTCCAAAGAATTGCCTTGCCCGCTTTTATCATGGTCATCATTTCCTGCACAGATCAGTCCTGAGCATTTGTTATAGATGCAAGGACTTCTGGTCCACCTGGCATACAGCCCTCCGAAAAACAGTAGTAATGTTTACCAATTCTAATTTACATATTTTATCTGGAGCGATGTAGAATATGGGAACAATGGCCTTAGGCACACTAGGCAGGGGTTCTGTCTCTGAGCCTCTCTCCCAGTCCCGCACTGGAGGATTCTAGGCAGGGGCTCTACCACTGAGCCACACCCCCAGCCCCTCCTTCCACCTTCAAGTGGGTTCAAGGAGTCAAACTCAGGTTTTCAGGCTTGGCAAATGACTTTGCTTACAATGTCATCTTGACAGCTCTAATATACCAAGTTTTTTGTTTATTTATTTTGGTTTTTCTTTCTTTCTTTTTTTTTTTTTTTTTGGAGACAGGGTTTCTCTGTGTAGCCCTGGCTGTCCTAGAACTTGCTCTGTAGACCAGGTTGGCCTCAAATTCAGGGACCTGCCTGCCTCTGCCTCCTAAGTGCCAGGGATTAAAGGTGTGTGCCACCACTCTTGGGCTGCTTTATTTTTTTTAAATGTTTGTGGGTGTTTTGTCCTTATACACTATGTACCTGCAGTGCCTGTAGAAGCCAGAAGAGGGCTTGGATCTCCAGGAGCTAGAGTTACAGACAATTGTGAGCAGCCGTGTAGGCGTTGGAAACTGAACCTGTGTCCTCTGGAAGAGCAGCCTGTAGTGTGGCATTTCATTTGTAGTTTAATAAATAAAACTCGCCTGGGGATCAGGAAAGTAAAAAAGCCACACTGGCCAGCCTTACAGACAAGGCAGCAAGGACGGACATACACCTTTAATCCCAATAACCACACTAGCTTCCCATAGGAACCAGGCGGTAGTGGTGCACACCCTTAATCCCAAAACTAGAGAGGAATACAAGATGGGCAGAGACAGCTCTCAGACACAGACTCATTCTGAGGATTCCTGGAAGCAGGATCACTATTTTCCGACTGAGGTTGACGTAAGAGCTAGTGGCAGGCTGCTTTGCTTTTCTGACCTTCAGGTTGAACCCCAATATCTGTTTCTGAGTTTTTATTAATCGTGCTTCAACACGTGCTTCACCGTTGGGCCATCTCTCCAGCCCCACACCAGGTCCCCACGGTTGCACAGCAACGCTTTACTGACAGCCATCTCCTCGGTACTCTCTTCTTTCATCACTGGATGACTTTTCTCCTAGTCTACAATTTCATACAAATCAAATAACTTAAAATAAAAAGGGGGAAGCTGTTATGCTACTGCTATGTGGTCTTGGGCAGGTGACCTCATCTCTCTGAACCGTATCATTCCCTTCTTTCAGGAACTTGAAGGACCTAGAAAATAGAGGGTTAATCACCAAACAGAGACCTCGCTCACAATACTGGAGAGTTAAAAGAATAGGTTCAAGGCAAGAGTCATGGCTCCCATATATAAACCCTAAGAGATGAGACGTGGTTTCACACAGCCCAGGTGGGCCTCGAACTTCACACACAGCTGCAGATCTTCTTCCTGATCTTCCTGCCTCCACCCCAGAGTACAGGGATTTACAATTGTGAGCCGCCATTCAGACCCTACCCTGGTGGGGGTAGGGTCCCTCCTCTTCTGGTGCACCCTAAGTTTGTCGCAAATCATCATTCCAACTCGTGGCAGGCAAAACACAACTCTTCTCTGAGCTTCGATGGGAGCTTCTACAGGACAGTTTCCAGAAAGACAGCTAGAAACTGGAGAGGACCTGCGGCGAGCCTTTGGGGTGCAAACGCAGCCCGCGGAATGGAAACTTTCTCTCGCCCTACTCTTGGACAGGGGGGTCATAATAGAAGGCCAAAGACAGTCGCTGGGTAGAGACCATGCGCAAGGCAGTCTCTCACGACCCAGGGAGATGAACGCCAAGAGTGACTCTGAAGGAATGCGTGGAGAATCACCAGCAATTTTCCTACTGACTTTTCAAGGCATAGCTTCACATGCAGTTCCAAAGATGAGCACAAGAGGTCGACGAAGCATCAAGAGCCCCCAAGGAAAAGCGGTTGTAAGCAGGTATCAACTTCCCAGAACTACTAGGGGGTATTGGAGTCAACGTTGGCGTCGCCCGGGGCCGGGGCCCGCCCGGCGCAGGACCGGATGGCAGGACGACTGAGACAGGAAAGAAGGGTTTGACCCAAGAATGTCAGAAAAACAGCCTTTAAAAGCCTAAAAGCTTACTGGGCAGTGGTGGCTCACACGTTTAATCCCTGGCACTTGTGAGCCTAAGGCTGGCAGATCTCTGAGTTCCAGGTCAGGCTGGTCTACAGAGCAAGTTCCAGGATTGACAGGGCTACACAGAGACTCTGTCTCGAAAAAAACTAAAATAAATAAATAATAAATAAAATTTTAAAAAGGAAAGAAAAAGAAAAAAGTTCAGGTTTGCCCTCAGCTACCCTAGGATTTCGGCCTTCACCATCCAGCTCTTCACATGGGTGTCAGGGATCTGAACTTTGGGACCTCATGCTTGTGTGGTGTTGCTAAAATTCCTTCCTGGGAGAAGACATAAGCAAGGTTTACCCCTCCTCCCAAGGCCCCAAGACAAACCGAGGCACATTCTACCAAAGTTCCTATGGGGAACCAGTAAGATTTGGGGTGTCCCGAAGGGCACAGGTTAGAGGTCATAATGGGTGTGGGTGCTCCACAGGCTACACCAGCCCGTGTTTGCCCTGTAGGGATGAGGGCTCTCCTGCAGATGGAGCCTCCCTCTGTAACGTCTCCTGCCCCCACTTGCGGTCAGGATGGAGTTGTTGAATGTAACAACAGGTAGGGAGTGGCTGGGTACTGGGGGAGGGCCACGATCCCTGTATGAGGGATTAAGCAGTCTAAAAAGCCCAGCTGGGATGAGCTTTTGCAAGGGGACACGAGTGGACTCCCCAAGACTGCTGTTGCCCCGCTCAGAGGATCATCAGGACCTTCAGGGAGCACAATACAGACCCAGCCATCTCCCCAGAGTCTGAACTCAATATTCAAACACACCCTCACTGTCATTCAGTGACCAGTGACCAGGTTCCTGCTTCTACATCAGCACTGGGCAAGGAGATAGAATAAGCGACAGGCAATCTTGTCCCTTCCCATCCAGGCTTCAAAGTCAATGAAAGAAACACAGATCTGCCTCAAGGGCCAGCAGGTGGCTGGAGCCCCAAGAAGGCTTTGTTTGAGTTTATTGGGAGGAGACAACACATGTCTGAGCTTCCACTGAGACGTTTCCTTCTTCATCTTTCTGTGTTAAGGTCTGTCTGTTGCCCCTTTCTGTGAGTCCTCCGCGTCACCTTCTCTCTAGTCAGAGTCAGCATCTTCTGAGGCAGGTGTGCCTTCCCGCTCAAACCTTCCTTCCCATGAGATAGTGCTGAGGTTGTCTTGGTTACCGATGTATCCAACACCATGCGCTCACACACACACACACACACACTCATGTATACATACACATATACACACATATATACATTCACACAATATGCACACACATATACATGCACACACACATGTATATATATATATACATGTGCATTCATGCAGACATACTACTCATGCAAGGCATATACATATTTGTTCACACAC